CAGTAAAAAATTAGAAACATCTGAAAATTCCAAAGATAAAATATTGCACTGGGTTGAAATGGATGTGTTACAGCTAAATTGTCTCAGAATGGAAACCTACAAGATCAAATGTTAAGTAGAATTTCAGACAGAATAAAAAGAAACACATAGACCACTTGTTCAATGGCAGAAAGACCCTACAAAGAATCAAGGCATAAGTTTACTGTAGAGAAAGGCATAATATGCAATGGAGATATAATACTCCCACAAAGTTTAACAAATGAAGTACTAAAAGGTGTACATTATGATGTACATTGTGGTATAACAGCAACACAAATGAGTTTAAAACTACAAGTATGGTGGCCAGGATATTCTTGAGAAGTAGAAAACCATGTAAAAAACAATATTTTTCAACAAGTGAAAGTGTGTGGTATAAAAAAGACAAAGAACCTAATCCAGAGAAGGTGAACTTTGTAGTACAGAAAGGATACAACACAGCAATACTAACAAAAAAATAGACAAAATGTACTGTCCCATGCGGATCAATTTAGAAGCAAAATGGAATCTGAGGATATCGAAATGAGCGAAGAATCTGAAGGTGAAGAACATGAAGGGGGGGACTGATGAATCCAGTAATGAAACTGAACAATCTCTGGATGATAATGACCAGAAATCTGCCAAGGAATTGGAAGAGGAAAATGAACTCGGACCTAGGTCCCCTATAAGAATAAATCAAAATACACATCAAGAAAGACAGTTTAGATTCCCAAGAATAATTAGAGGAAGTTGAAGGGCAGGAATTGGAAGAGGAAAATGAACTCAGACCTAGGTCCCCTATGAGAAGATAAGATACATGTCAAGAAAGACAGTTTAGTTCCCAAGAATAATTAGGGGAGGTTGAAGGGCAAAAGACCATTATGTTTCAGGGAGGTGTAGTATTGTATGTAAATGAGACGCTGCTATAAAAACAGAACAGTAAATCGAATGCCAGTCGAGCTACCATCTGTTGATCTGACAACGTCTATTCCAGAGATTACTTTATTTCATAACACTTACAGTTGATGCTTAACCACATTCTTTTACAGTTTGTTTAGGTTAACCTTTTTACTGTTGATACTTGATGTTAATTCTATAATGGAAAGTTTCCTAGAACAATTACCATGAAAGTTTTTATAGAAAAGGCACAGGTAAGCTTCATTATTGCGGTGGGAAAGTAAATGAAGCTGAGATGACAGATGAGGACCAATAACGTTGCAGACTCTTTGGATTTTATCAGGAACCTCTAAATATATAGGAGGAGCACCAGACCATATGTGGCAGCAATATTCAAAGCTTGGAAGAATAGTTGATTTATAAATATGCAAAAATGGATTCTTTTGAGAAAAATTGTCTAGCATGACAGGGAACTAACTTTCCTAGTAGCAGACATAGAATTTTTTTTAATCATTTCACCCCAAGCAAGGCAATAAAGATACAAGGAGTTACTGAGTGTTAGAGAATATGAGAAAAATATACTAGAAAAAAATATACCAGAAAAGATAGAGGAATCCAATATGCTGGATGTTTAGGTTTAGAAATGGCATATTGTAGATTGTGATGTGTTTAACCTCTTTGCTAATTCCTGTGGTACTTTGCTGTGGATTTCTTTCCACTGATGACTTTCGTGTTTCCTCATCAAAGACTGATGACTGCCATAGTCAGGGATCATTTTCCAACAATGCTCCTCCAGAAAAGATAGAGAAAGCCAATAAGCTGGTTGTCTGGGTTTCAAAATTTCGGCATATTGTAGATTGTGTCAGGGTTCATCTTCCAAGGATGCACTTCCAGAAAAGACAAAAGGCCAGTTAAGTGGATCATTGATAAATAAAACCTTTTGTAAATGTTGGCATAGTGTATATTGTGTCAAAGTTCATCTTTCAACGACATTCCTCTAGAACAATATTTTGCAAACATATTTCCTATTTGATCTTAATTTTCACCATATTTAATTATTTTTTATAAAAATACATATTTTTCCATAAATATTTATTGCATGTTCAGATCAAGACTTTCATGTGGGTGTCATGAATGTTGCCAAACCTGTTCAGAAATATCTAAACTATTAGCTGTATACAACTGCTTTCTGAGATCATTGATTAAAAAATGGCTTCAAAGGAATGAAATCTGTAGGTTTTAGCATTGACATTCCTTCCTTGAGTCTTATGAACTGGCACTAGACCATTGGTTCTCAACCTTTTTTTAACCATGGCCCCCTTTTTCCTTCTTTTTTTTTTTTTGCTGGACCCCTTAATATCTATTTAACATAAGAGAACAATATTCTATTTTTCACTAATAAAAATTTTGAGGTTCTAATAATCAAAGAAATATTATATAATTAAGCTTTATTTTTAAATGAAAACTAATTTAATGCAAATAAATTATTCTACAATTATAATAGTAATAATAATAATTATAGTAATAGTAATTTTTATTGACCCATATCTTGTATTACAATATTACAATATTTCTTCCATGGTCAAGGCCATGGGGAGCGATGTTATTCAGGCAATTGAATTCACTGTAGCATTTATTTATCCCCACTGGTTAAAAATTTTAATAAAACCAATTTAAGTTAAGTGTGTGATTAGAAAAAAAAGAAAGGCATATTTATTTAATGATATTCCTTTGGTTGATGTTGCTCAGCAAGTTTCTTTATATCTGGTTCCATTGATGTTAATTGATAATTGAACATCACCTCTTTTCACAATGTCAAGTCTATTGCAAACTTTTGATAGCAGTTGAGAAACATGACTAATAAATCCAGATTCAACATGACAAGATGTTGGAAAAGCAATGACGTAGCAATTAATTTTAAACCTTAGGTATTGAAAATTCAGTATAGGTATATAATAGTATATATTTAGTATATAAAAGAAATAAAGAAAGATTCATTCTTTATATATATATATATATATATATGTCTTTAATTTAATTACAAAATTAAATTTGGACCTTCCCTTTTTGAAACATGGTTAGAACTATGTAGCAGAAAAACCATATTTTAAATCAATTAATTTATAATATTAATGCACTGTAAATTTACATTGAGCACTATTTTGTAAAAATAAAAATATCTATAAGAACACCGGATTATATATCTTACTGTTCTTTCTTTTTATTTATATATATATATATCTGACGATCGCTAAAGCATGAAACCCAGGGTCACAAACTCACATCTATCCAACCAAATATGTTAATTTTCTATCTCTGATATTGAGCGCTTAATAAAAAAATAAGATATAATATATAAATAATTATATATATATATATTTATTTATATTTATATGCACACACTTTTCACACACATACACACACACATATATATATATATATATATATATATATATATATATTTCAATATAGTGTAAATTACAGTAGAAATTTAATTTTAATAATAAAAACCATTCTGAGTTAGCTTTCTTCATGGACCACCAAAATATCATTTCAGACCCCAAATTTGTTATATTTTGCCTGTGGATCCCCAGAAATATTACCTGAACCTCTAGGGCCATGTGGATCCCTACACTAGACAATCGCAAAGAAAGGACAGTACCAAATAACAGAAATCACCTCACTTAACCTTCAACAAGAACAACAATTAAAATGCAGCACATGTAACACAAAGAAAATTTTGATGCAATCAAGATGCTGTCATTATTCAAATAATAGCAAAAGGTTAGAAAGGAAACTGCAATCAATATTGGAAGAAGCTATAACAGTTACTGGACTTGGGAAACTTATTTTCCTGAAAAATTGTTTCAAGAGAAAGATTTTATAAATTTCAACCAACAGTAGCACTGGCTGCTTGGTCAATGATTGCTGAATGTTTCCCTAAAAGGAAATGGTTAATGTTACTGTTAGTATTACAGAGAACAGATACTACACTTTGAAAACCAGCCCGATGTTCAAGGAGCAAAGAAAAGCATAACTCGGGTAGCACTGGCTGCTTGATCAATGAATGTCGAATGTTTCTTTATAAGAAACAGCTAACAATACGATAATAATAAAGAGCGTATAGAAATGAAACACCAAACTTTTGCTGATTTTCCCTAACTTTTCTAAGTATTGGCACCATATACTGTCACTTAGAAAAGACAGAGAAAGCCAATAAGCTGGGTGTTTGGGTTGCACATAATCGAAAATGGTAATTAATTATGACTTTCCCTAATAAATAGATACAAATATTACCTGCCAACAAGTTGTTATGGTCCAAGTTCCTTGTACATAGGCACTGGCGTAGCTAAGGGGGGGCCGACCATCGGAGTTGAAAAAGACAGGAGGGGTGACACAATGTCACCCCCAACAAAATTTTTCAACCAGGTTAAGGTGCCAAAAATAGGGTTTTGCAGGCGGGCATATGACTCCCCAGAAATAATTTTTGACCCCCCAGTTTTGTTTCCCCCCGTCAGAAATTTTCTAATAAATTGTCGGGGAATTTGTGAGTAGGAAAAATAGCAATGTTTTCAGCTTTTGATTTGAACTGATTATTTTGTGGTATTGGATTTTGTCTTGGATCATACATGTAAACAGTAATGTACCGGTCAGTAGAGTAAAGTAGAGGTAGAGCATGTATGAAAATTTAGCTACAGCTAACCATTCAGCATAGGGTGAATCTGGGTCATTGGGGTGACATTTGAGTGGACTGCCCCAGGTGACGTTTACTCTAGCTATGCCACTGAACACAGGTATGGAATACAAAGATATATTACAACAGAAATATAATACAAAGAAGTAGAAGTATTAGTAATGACTATCAGATTTGGTTAGAGTGAACTATGTTGTCTCGACAAGTATCACTATTCCAATGTCCTTACAATATGCTCTCAATTATCTTTCCTTGTCTTACAACAATCCTCATACCTTTTGAGAGGCGCAGTATTATAATGTCAGGAATAATATGGGTAAGTTCCCATAACACAAGTGATTTAAGATTTTTGTCTTTGCTTTTTTTAATTTTAATTTTTTAATTTTTCTTTCAGGTTCAAATGCAACTTTCGCAGAATTGTCACAATTTTTCACCACTCTTTGGGGTAGTGACACTAATAGTGTGAATATCACTGTGAATTATCAAGGAAAAACTAACAGCTCAAACAAAGCTGACATGGCACCACAGCCGTAAGTGAAATGTAACTTTTCACTTTCATATATTAATTAAAAAAATAACAAGAGGAAAATTTTATATCTACACATTTTGTTTCTTGAGGAACATTTGTAGAAAAAATAAATTGACTTAATTTTGATATCAGTTTCATTATTCTATCTGGTCTAAAATTTGTTTTATAGGATAGAAGACCTTATTTATCAATGAACCCTCATAATTCTGAAGAGAAATAAATTGGCTTCATTTTGGTATCAGATTCATTATTTTATCTGGTCGAAAACTTGTTTTATAGGATTGAAGGCCTTACTTATCAATGAACCCTTGTAAGGATTGGAGATCTTACTTATCAATTAATCCTCATAATTTTTAGGTGAAATAAATTTCCTTTATTTTAATAACTGTTTCGTTATTCTTTTTCATTTAAAATGTATTTTACTGAAATGGAAGACCTTACTTATTGAGCAACTCTCATATAATTCAAATTATTCATGAGTACTCTCTGTATATTTAGTCAACTCATAAATTTTGTGTAAGGTGTAAAATATTGATATAGCCTTTAGATACTGATTTGGAAATAAATAACTCATGTTGTAAACAGTCGTGTCCAAATTAACATAGTTTCATTTTTATTAAATACGACATAATATATTTCTTTCTACTTTTGCATCTATGTATGCCTGCTAAAATATTTCTGGCTTTAACTTTTTAGGCTATTCAGAGAACTCCCCAAGAAAATTTGTGATAAAACAACTTACAAGACATTTTTTGTCTTGTTAGACAACTACAATCACAGGGTTGGACAATCCGAGGATAGACTTCAGGTAGAGAAGAATGAAGAAAATGAATTTTTGAATGCCATTCTTTCAACAACAGTGATGGCGAAGACCCATGAATTCTTGAAGCGTAAAGGTAATCTATATTCTAAAATAGTTTCTTCCTTGTCTGTTATGCACCTTGTGTAACTATGTGCCTGTAATTTTTGTAAATTTCATGCATATGACTGTGTTATGCACAAGTGACTTAGTGGCTTGTGCTATTTAATAAGCTGTGGCTTTGAATCAACCCAGAACTAAAAAAAGGAGAGAAAGTTTTTTAATTATAAAAATAATAATATTCTTATTTTCATGTTTTTACAATTAAATCTTTTGTGGCATGTATTAGTATTAAAGTTCTTTAAATCCTTGTTCTTGCAAGCTCTTGTATGGGATGCATGCAACAAACTTCACAAGATTTGGCACCCGAAACTTCCATTCTCCTTAAAAGTCCAATCCTTTCAAACATTCAATCCTACTGTATGGATCAGAAACTTGGACATTATCTGTTTGTCTTGAGAGACGACTGGATTGAACATATACAAGAAAATCCAGAACATCAGTTGGAGATCCCATGCAATGCTTAACATAATTTACAGATAATTAAGACCAATATCTTTTAAGCTCAAACAAAAATGATTATAGCTTTCTGGCCACTGCCACCAGGTAGACAGGGAAATCGTCTCATCTTTACTCCTATGGCATCTTTCTGGAAATGTCTTCTCACGATTATTGACTTTTCCAGACACACAGCTCAGGACTCGTGTTGGATATTGGGGATTTGGAGCCAGCAATACAGGACTGAACAGTGTGGAAAGGGATTGTCAATGGAGTTCCAACCTACGATAGGGAAGTCCAAGGATGATGATGATGATGAAGTCCTTGTTTGTAGCTGTTTAAGATGAAAAGAAATGTGATTGCATGCATGTGTGAGAAAAAAGAGGCAAATGAGGAGCAAAGTGTCATGTAGTTTTTGGTGAGGAAAATGGGTGAATGAATAAGGAAATTTCTTTTAATCTGTGATATCATGAATCTGTTGCAGTATGTTGCTACTCTTTCCCCTTACATTGCTTATATATTCTTCAAAGGGATCCCAAAGCATTTTTTTTATTGTCAGTGGGAATGCAACTCATTGGTTGAAAAATGTAAAGTATTTATTTTCAAAGGATTAATTTATTAACCGGAAGGATTTGTGAATCCTCTTGCTTAGAGATCATATTTTTGTCATTTGATGTTTGATTGTCTTGCTGTTTCATTTGTCTTCACTCCACACACACACACACACACACACACACATGTATCCACCTGTGCATACAAATAGATATTATATAGTAGTTCAGCACAGTTTTCTTTGTTTTTTAGGACCTTTTCTTAATACTTCTTTTAGTTTCTAGAAGGCATCTTACACTGTTACTCTATACCTTCAGACATACCCTTGGGAAAGGTATGAATCCTACTCTTCTCCCCCCAGCTATGGGCAAACAGCAGTACAGACTGAGTTCTATAGCCTTGGATAGCAACTGGTCTACTGCAGAAAGAAATGGCAACCTACTGCAGGAGAAAAAATCTGTGTTGTCAGTCATGTATCAAAAAGTACATGATCACCTAAGCGTGTCTACTGCATGGCACATAACTGACTGTTACAATGCTACCATGATAGTTACATTTCTTTACTGGCTTTATTCTGATGTCTCTGCTTATGGCCACATCATATTAAAACACCGGCTCCTGTACTATCACCAAAGTTAAGCAATATCAAGCCTGATTGGTACCTAGATGGGTGACTGCTTGGAAATAACAGGTGCTGTAAGCTAGAGTGTGTGGCTGATGTAATGGATAATGATTTGAAATTGTTAGTTGTAGAGCCCATTGGGTTTGTGATATTGACTTACATGCAAATACCTTTGGAAGAGATATGAATCCATCTCTTATTCCCCCAGCTATGGGTTAATTAGTAAGATTTGTACCACAAAATCATTATTATCTCAAAAAAAAATTCTTACAATCTAAAAATATTTTCTGGCTTTAAATAACCTGCAAAGTGTTGATAAACCATAAAAAAAATCAGTCAATCAATCTACTGATGTCCTAATTTGTACCTCATATACTTGGCTGTCCATTTTTTTAACAGTCATACATTCTGTCTTCTTACAGTTGTTAATTAATCTTTTGTTTTTTCTTGCTCAATATTTGCACTGAATTGTCTAAAGCATTTTTGCATTTACACTCACATGTCTTACACACTTTTATGTTAACACTGAACTGTCTTATGCTCATTTGACTAAAACAAATGTTTGAAATTGAATTGGAATAATATATTTATCTCTCTTTCAATCTGGACAACAGCTACCCTGAGCTGGACAATAAAATCACAAAGTTGGAAACAGTGTTAATTGTTTAAACCTTAAAAAAAAAAACAATATTTATAAGATTTTATTGATGTTTTTAGAATTTATTTGGTATAATTATTTTTAAAACTTTTTTTAATTTTGTAAAAATATTTTTAGATTTTGTTGAATGAGAATATATATGCACAAATGTACATACGCACACTATTCGAATAAAACTGAAACGGACCATCTGTGTCATGAGGGATAAATTTTCCTTTTTGTCTGGCAACAATCCCTGGGTAACAGGAAAAGAGTAGAAGCCAAATATGCAGGCAGAGATGGAGTAAGTGTGAGGGAAAGAGAGCAAGAGGGAAGAGAGAGATGGAGATGGGGGAAGAGAGATAGAGAAAGGAGAAAATAGGGAAAGAGAAGGGGAGTGAGAATCTGAGGAGTGTCAAATGTTTGATATTTTCTTTACAATTACCTCTGCATTAAAATCTCACATAATAATTTGCTTTATATAGGAGAGAGGGAGAGAGAGAAAATGAAGGCAAAGATGGAATGAGAGAGGAAAAGAGGGAAAGAGAGATGGAGATAGGGAAAAGAGAGAGATGGAAAAGAATGAAAGACATGGAAATAAATAGAGGGAGAGAATCTGAGAATTTGTATTTGCTGTTGTAGGTTGGCCGTAGCTGGGATTATAGTCATTATAAACACCATGATCGTGTCAATGACTGCATAGTATATGTTACAAGTTTTGAATTCAAAGTTGTCCTAGACTGGTTGCACAATCTGTCATGCTATTTAACCCATAGCTGAGGGAAGAAGAAATAAATCCAAGAGTATTTGAGTGAAAGTGAATGCAATGCACTTTTGGAATTTGAACTTGACTCTAATCTTTGTCATCTGCACTTAACTTATACTAATAATCAAATGCACATTTTTTTTTTCTTCAGGATTGGTTCCATTTTCAAAGAATGGTTTCAAAAATAAGCTTCGTGAAATGTGGTTCAACACTTATTCACGGTCAGGAGGTACCCAGGACACGAGTGGTTTTGAACATGTTTTTGTTGGAGAACTCAAACACGGTTCCGTTTCTGGGCTTCATAGTTGGCTACAGTTTTACAATGAAGAGAGATATAATCGTCTGAATTATATGGGATGGATCTATAAGAAAAAGGTATTTGAATTCGTTTTTTTTTTTCATTTTTTTTTTTTTTTTCATTTATACCTCTCTTGGTGTAGTTTATGAAGTTGAACTTCCAGTAATATCAAGTCGCAAACTGGACAGGGTGTCAGATTGCCCAGTGATGGAGTGAGCCCCTATAACAAATAAAAATGCAATGAAGAAACAAACGCAAACAAATGTTTTAGTAATAAAAAAGAATAAGAAATTTATAAAGTTATCAGCACACTATCAGTTACTCAAGTTCAATGTGAGAGGACATTTTTGTCATAAAGACAAGGTTAAGAAATTTGTTGTCTTTGAGAGAACAACTTTTAATCATGATCATTGAAATTTCAAGGTCTTCTTGGTAATGATGAAACATTACTAGTTTAGCTTTGTTACAAACCAGTTGTTCCCCTATTAAGCTTTTATAGTTGGGTTGAGGAGAGAGATCAGCTTCTAGGTTTCAGCTATCTATTCTTAATATGTTCCATAAGCATAATGAAGTGCAGGTGCCAAATAAATGATAATGTGAGACTTGTAACTTCAGTAGGTCAGTGTGGGTGTAAAGCAGCCCCACTGAACTTTTGTCTAATCTGTGCACCTTAAATTCAGACTGCAATGTATGAGAGACTGCTTGAAGTTGCTGTAGACATTTGTTGATATAAATACTTTTATTATAAAATCTTTTCCACACCTGCAATCAAGATGCAGGCATGAAGTCATGTTTCCCTACTCAGTGGAACATCCAGTTTGCTTGATGTCTGAAGTGAATTGCGTACAGTGTCTATTCCAGAATTGTACTGCCTAAGGACATTAGGATGTGTTGATAATGAAATGGCTAAAGATTTACAAAGAAGAATTGACAAGCTGAGTTCAAATTCTAGACTCACCTGTTGTGTTCACTTTTGCAGAAATGCCATTTATAGTGATATTTCAATGCTTGTTTGAAGAATGACTCTTTAATTGGTCATAACAACTCAAAGCACTTGGGGATGACAGTTTGATTAATTTCTGATCCGTCTCAACCAAAATATCTTGATCTGGGACGAGTGTGGGCCGGGAGCTGTGATTTATAGCTTTTCCTGTTTTGATTTAAGGGTCTTCTTTTAATTTTAAGACTTAATCTTGCCAAAATGTAAGTCTATGTCACAGACATTTTCAAATTTCTCCTTTCCTAAAAGACATGTCTCTTTTGCAAGTCAACGTACATGACCATAAAAATATTAGAAAATAGTTAGTAGTAAGTTAGGACATAAATTTCTTGCTTTAATTGAAAAAATTCTCCTAGTAATAATCCACTTATCAGAATTTTTAATAAAAATACCCTAAAATTAAGTTACAGTTGTAATGAAAATTTAGAAAAGATTATAAAAAACATAATAACAAAATTAGGAATAAATACTTACACCTGAATCAAAGAAATAGTGATCCAGAAATAAGAATAAACAATAGTAAAGATAAATTATGTAACTGTAGAAATTCTGAAAATTGTCCTTTGAATAATGTCACACAGAATCTGTAGTTTACCAATGCACAATCTCATCTATTGAGAATCCTAATGTTGAGAAATTCTATATAGGATTATTAATATTATTAAGAATGAATTTAAATTAAGATGGCGACAACATCTGACTTCCTTCAATAATACAGGGTATTGCAACCAAACATCTCTATCCAAATATTTTTTAAAGGAAACAAATTAATTACCAACAATAAAATGGAAACCAATAAAAAAATTGAGAACATGTAGATCTTTAAATTACCCATGTCCTTTGAACCTACATGAAAAGTTATAGATTATTAAGTTTCTGAAAAATAAAAATTTATTAAATCAAAGAAATACAATAGCAGTTTTTTGTAGACATTATCTCATGTTTTCCTTAAAAAATAATTAATTATAAAAAGAATTTGCATAATTATATAACTATTATTTGATCATAAATTAATTTATAAATGTGTAATTAAATTCTAATATTTTAATTTTATAATACCATTTATAGTTTATTAATAAATAAAATAATATAGTATTTTAGATATTTATAAGTAAAAATAATATGACTTAATCATATTTGAATACGCCTTCAAGAAAATTTCGATGTAGTTTTAGAATACAAGAAAATAAATAAAAACAAATAAATATAAATGCCAAATGTATTGTACTGTAACCCAAAATAAAAAAAACAAGACTGATGACACATCCACATAAAAGGAAGTTAATATCATTACAGAAATCTCTAACCCCCACCTAACCTTAACTGATTTTCAATTTACCACATAAAAAATATACTTGTATTTTCATTCATCAAAAAAGCCAACACCTCCTTAATAAAAAAATTCTAAATTTTCATCATTAAAATTTAAAATTTAATATACTATTTGGCTTATAAATAAAGTAAAGCATCGCTCAAAAATGGAACTGAACTTCAAATTTTAAGTTTAATTTAAGATTTAAGTTTTGGTTTTGAAACATAGTAACTTCTGTGCCATGATAGAAAGATATTTTTTATATATATATATATATATATATATATATATATATATATGTTCATGCAATTTTTCATTTTCCTTTCAGCATGGAATTCTTGGTCTGAAATTTAAATGGTTAAACAAAATAAAACCAATCAGTACTATCCAGGTGGGTCCGAGCCCAGAGTTCGACATTGCTGTTCTCAGTACCTGTTTCCTTGTTAATCCACCAAGAGGCAATTGCCAGTTCAAAATTGGCAAAGACAAATTAACCATCAAAGTTTACAAGGTAAATGGTTCACCAACTAAAATTGGAAGTGCTTTCCTTCAGTAAAACACTTTTCCTGCCAACTGTTGCCATTTGGATTTGACCGGACTCTTCAAATGTAGCTGATGAACCAAGTTTGTATTTTGGTGTGAAACATCACAAATACTTTATTTTATAGCTTAGATGAAATATCATGACTGTTTTTCAGTTTGGTATTATATAATCAGCTCGATAGAACACTTGTGGACCTTAGGCATCACAAATGGCTTTCTATTTAGCCAGGTATCTTCATTTCTTCCTCATGAATATAACAACCAAGATGGGGATAATAAACTGACTGAAAATCATACAATAAAGATAATTTCACATAAAAACAAAAAAAATACCTAAATACATTGAAGTGTATGGTTGCAGTTAAGTTTTTAAATCTTTTACTTACATTAACTTAATTATTAACATTTTTTTTTCTTAATGATTAAAAAAAAATGATTCTGGAATGAAGCATTACCAATGTCGCATAAACTGTTTTTCTAACTAATATCTTCTTGCTTGTTTTTATCACACAATTTTGGTTGGTATGTGCTTCAGCCTTCCTTGACTTTGTGCTGCTTCTGGTAAGCCACCTGTCATCTGGAAATTTTAGGATCTGTGTAGTTTTCAAATCAAGAAGGCCACAACAGCAATATTAACAATAATAATGATAGATCTACAGTAGGTATTATCTATTTGAGACTGTACAAATTGATGGAGAACACCTATAATGCAAAGTCTCTGGTTGAAGACAAAAAACTGTACAGAAAAAATGAATCTACTACTACTACTACTACTACTACTACTACTACTACTACTACTACTAATAATAATAATTTTGAAAACACCTCTTCTGATAGATGTTGCAGCCCTAGCTGCTAAAAACACATACAAAAGTCGACTGAAAGGTTAATAGGCTGACAAAGATATAAATGTAAGTAACACACCAGTTGATAGACTAAAAGACTTTGGAAAGCTATGAATCCACTTCTTCTCCTCCAGCTATGGGTTAATTAGTAAGAATTGTGTCACTAAATCATTATTATCTCCAAAAAAGATTCTTGCAATATAAAAATATTTTTTCTGACTTTAAATAATGTGCAAAGATTTGATAAACCATAGAACACAAACAAATCAATCAAAAACCCAGTGTTTATTGGCATGTTGTGCTCTCATTCAATAGTAATAATAATAGTTGTACCTCAGTGTTACTTTATTAGCATACCGCCTTCTCTCATTACTACTCCTACAATTAATAGATAGATAAGGGAAGATACTGAAATAGATAGATAGATAAAGGAAGAGACTGAGAGAGATAGTACATTTTTCTATTTATTATTTTGTTTTTTATCAACACCTGTCACCATATTACATGCATTTGCCTGTTCTACTTGTGCTTGGTATACTCTTATGAGACTGGGTGTCGTGATATGTATATTGGACTTTGTATACAAGTGTCACTTTGTTGACAAACTGATTTCTCTACTCCTCCTACTACTAAAAATAATGGCTTATGATCCTATCACATTGAAACACTTGTTCAATGACTGAAGTTAAGCAACATCAGGCCTGGTTAGTACCTAGATGGGTGGCTTCTTGGTATAGGTGTCACCAACGCGTGTAGAAGTGCTCTGGCCTTATGTGAAAAAATCTCTACCCGAACTCCCTCAAAACCTTCACAAAGTACTCTTTGTTGACCGTCTGGCTAGAGAGCTCCCTGTGGAAGTAGATGATGCTCAGGCTGTTAAAAAAAGGGGATCATCATGAGTGGGCTTGCATTTGCCTGGCCTCCTTCATCCGGGGAGTTGGTCATGATGCTTTCTTTGGGCTCTGTGTTTCTTGGTCGTTGTATCATTAAATCCAGCTTTTGTCACGGGTCCCCAGAGACTAAAGTACTCTTGGATTGGAGGTAATGAGCCCAACCATCTCCCTACTGTGACTTTCCTCCTGTTCACCACTGAACACCCTGGGAAATAATTTGGCACAAATTTTGTGCAGGTTCAGACCTTCATGATTAATTCTGTGTATAGTTGATACATCAACTCCAAGCTGTATACATATTGATTTTATAGACGCACAACAATTTTCAGAAAATTGTAAATGTCCTCAACCAGATCTGATGTTCTGACCTCCTCTCTCTAACATTTTTCATTGTCTTTCTTCTCCTCTCTACTGTCCTTGAACCTCTTTTGCCAGTGAAAAACTTGCTCAGCTCATAAATTTAATCCATAAGCATTCTAGAGCATTTCATAAATTTCTGTAGCGTTTTTGCCCAGTCTAATGCAAAAACTTTATTGTATAGCAAGCTTCCAAATAACCAAAGTTGGCAGGTCAACTTATCAAATGAACTTTAATGACATACTAAATTTACAATAATCTAAGACATTTATGACTGCATCTTGCTAGATAACATTACTAACATTACTAACTAACATTACTAACTAGATAACATAATCTCTAAAGATTATGAGGATAAGTAGGTTAAGTAATAGTTGACCCTAGACTTGACAAAGTTAACATTGTAGTGTTGGGGAGGTATCCACTTGGGAGTTGCAGTTCTCGGGAGTGGAATATTCTATCCTGAATGATGAGGTGTGTATCAGAAGTTTCAAGACTTCTTCAGGAGAGACATTTATTAATTTCAAAGAAGTACAAAACTCTAATATCCTCTGACCTCAATGCAAATGTAGCACTTCAGCCATTTAGTGAAGGCCCTGTCTGCCTTCTTAGAGTCATGTTTAAAAATTGTATACAAGCATAAAAAATAAAAATATCTACATAAAATTATAAGTTTTGGTACAAATGTTGCTTGTCTTAAGAAAATGGCTGTACTCGTAATCAACATGTCAAAATGAATGAAACACAGCCAGCATGTATGGTGTGCAGCCGATGTGTGCATAATATAATGGGGATCATGCCCATCTAAGAAATTTTCTGTTGATTAATTACTAAGATTAATCGATCAAAGTGCTTAGTATAAATCTTATAGGACTCGCCTGTCATCCTGTTCATTCCCCTAGGGCAGGAAGTTAGTAGCTTGCATATGTAACTATCTTCATGTGTTTTAAGGTTTGAAAGGTTGGTAGATTCTGAAGATTTTTTTCAGAATGTGCACCTTAAGATGTTCAAAATATTGTTTTGATACTTTGATTACCATTATTATTATTATTATTATTATTACTAATATTATTATTATTATTATTATTTCATTTGATTTCTGTTGTCTACTCATTTCGTTCCTGGTCCCAACTAGAGTCAGAAATGGCATCATGACATTTTCCATGGAACATTTTTGTAATAAAAATAAAAACAAAATAACCTAAGATCGCACATATTTTGCATAGATATAAAATGCAAAAGATAAAGGTGTAAGCTGTACTTGTGTGAACAATTTTTGTATTTCTTTACGGCATGGGCTATCAGGGATCTCTTCAATGAGTCTATCGGAGCCTTTTCCAATCAAACCAATATCTTCAATCATAACATTATTATTATTATTATGTTGTTGTTGCTGTTGTTGTGCCTTGACCTAGTCAACTGAAATTCTGTTCCTGAGGTATGAAGTCGACAAGACTCCTCACAGCTTAAGAACTTTTTAGAGATCTGGTCTCAATTCCAATTCTCCTGAAGCACTCTTTTAACTTTCTAGGCCGTGTTCCAAGTGTATCCATTACTACATGATGTAATGAATATGCATACACCTGGGTTCCCCCTCACAGTAATATGATTGGCTGGTGTCAGCCATAAATACAGACTGATGTGGAGGTACAGGACGACGCCTATTACCTACCACTATGACGAGGACCAGTCCATTACGGTTACCTGCTAGATTCTCTTACTCAGTTACAGTAGTCCAAAACGCTTTGCTCCTTCAAACAAATATATCCCTTTCTGGGACATATCACCACAGAAATTAATTCAACAGCCATATTTTATAGCCTCTTCAACTTCCTAAGTAGACCCTGGTATTTTTTAATATTTTCAGTTTTTTGATGTCCTCTCTTGTATCATATGGAACAACAAAATCAATCAATCGATCAGTTAATCAATAATAATAATTGGTATTGTTTGTTTTTGCAAAATTTGGGTTAGAATCTTACCTTATTTTTATAGGGTCTTTCTTCAGTAGATGTGGCACAGAATTGTAGTTTATAGTATTGAAATGCATTTTAAATGACACTTTTCTCCACATACCAAGTAGATAAAAATAAGTTATAGGAATAAAAACAAATGCCAAATACTATAACCCATCAGTGATTTTATGTGTATTTTAAATTCCAAAGATGATCAAATGAATGTTCTTGAAATTTGTACCTAATAAAAAGCATGCAAAATTCTTTTCTTGTTGTTTTTCTTTAATTGCAACGAATGCAGGTTGGCATGACGAGGATCAGTATGGAAAATAAAATTGTCAAAATGAATCCTCATTTAATTATTGCAACCAAAACGGACATATTAAAAGCAAAGGAAAAGAAAGTAAAATCCCATCAGCCTGGTAAAATAAAACATGAAAAGAAGAGAAAAATATAAAAGAAAATATAAGACTGAAAGAAAAAATATTTATTTATATACATATATATATACATATATATATATATATATATATATATTCAGTCATATGGTTTGATCCATATGAGTGAATATGTTAGCTCTATCACTGATATTGGGCACTTTCCAATAAGTACCGTGCATATATAATATATATAGAAATTATATATGTACACATATATATAAAATAGATATGTAATATTTTTCTCTATTTATAATACATTTTATATTTTTCATGTTTTTATAACTTTTAATATATCTTTATACTTTTTTATATATATTTTTTTACATATTTTTATACCTATTTTTAAAACAGGTTTTTGCAAAGTTTTGTTAGTAATTTTTTTTTTTACCTATATATTTACCTGTTTTTTAGCTATTTTCTTCCATCTGTTTTTAGTTTTCTTTCTAGCTATTTTTTTTAGCAATTTTTTTTCAGTTATTTTGCTTTAGCTATTTCTTTTTGCTTTATTTTTAGCATTTTTCTA